TCGTCGGATATTGTGTCTCCCCCCATGGCCTCGCTCAGAATCTCCCAGCCAGAGGGATTTTAAAATTCTAACAGTATTTCTCTTATCTCCCGAACGGTACGGTATTAGTTGCGTCTGTTTGCGGATCGGAAATCCCACCTTTCGAATGGTCGTTCTCTGATAGCTGTACATATAATAAAAATATCAACAACTCCCAATCTGTCGCTCCATGCACCCTCCTTTTCAACCCCTTTTTCCACAACTTTCCCACCACACTGTCAGTAAATAACTACACATTCTTAATTCCTTAGAATATACAAAATAATGTATCGTTAATAATTCAGCTGTTGGAAGAACCATTGGCCACTTGTTACCATTCTCCTTTATTCGAACGTCCGCACACCACGGAACGATTTTCGTCCAGGCCATCCTATGCGACACCCTTTCAACCCTCCCCGCTCCGCCCGTCGGCTCGTTTATAAATTTGCAACTTCGATCCCCCCAGCCAGAGGAACAAGAGCCGTCTGGTATCACCCATCTTCGGAGAAACGATCGTTTCGCGTCGACGGAAACTTTCGTCGCGGAAACTAATTATCCAATCCATAGACGGGGGGATACAAGAAACGCCCCGAGAGGGAATCAGATGTTTGGTGTTTCTTTTTCTTTTCGAAAATTACAGAAGAAGCTTCCGTTCGTGTTTAAGCGAACACGACCGGAAGCTGTAAATGTTCACGCCTCGATCCCCTCTCCTCGATTTCTGCTCGGCTGGCTCGGGAATTGATAAAAATTCCACGTCACACGCAGCACGAGCGAAACGAGGGCCGAGAAAAGGGGGAGGGGGTGTGGGGCGTGGCGCGTACCGCAGCTCGCGTTAATAACGAAAAATTTATAAATTCACCCCTCTCGCTCTTTTCTGGGATCCTTCACCCTTAGAGAGCGTGGGTTTCTACGTTCCCATTTTCCCCGACCGAACGCACCCGCCCAATCATTCAAGGTCGCGGCTAGGATCGTTCAAGGTCACCGTCTAGGTTCCTCCCCCTCTCGTGTTAATACAGCCCAGGACGGGAGAGCTTGGGAGGAAGTTAACGGCCGGATTACTCCAAGGTCAACGCCCGCCTCGCCCGGGTCACTGGCCTCTACTCTCAAGGCCAACGTCCGGATTATTCGAGGTCAAGCAGAGGAGACCGCAAGACGCGAGGTGGGATCCCCGTGCACGCCGCCTGGACGCGTCGATCGATCGGCGCTCTGCGTACGCAGCGTTTGCCTTTTGACGTATCCTCGTCTGTCGAAAGTACACTACCACTGTCGTAGAATCGAAAATTCACTATAGGACGAAAAGAATAAACTCCTTGTTTCCTGATAGAGGACCAAGAAAAAAGAAAATGGAGGGTTAGAGGAGAGAAATGGGGTAAATCGTTTTTCAGTGATGCGAGACCTCGTCTGGCTATGTACAGGGACTACTACCGGTATATATTTAGATTTTCGGTAATATATCGGTTTCGGTATAACTTTGATGGCATAATACCGGTGTCAGAATCATACCGGTTTAAGTCCCTGGCTATTTATGTAAATTAAACATTCGGTTTAATAATTATTTCAGTACTTGAAATAAATTTACTAAGTGGTAGGAGACTTATCTTCTACGCCACTATTTTCCCCTAATCGAGTTTGCTCGCGAGGGTACACACGATGCCTCGACCACGAGGAGATTTATCTCCAAGAAATAAGCGATAACCAGGCTACAGGATAAAAGAACAACGGGAAAAAAGTTTCGGGAGGAACTCGTACACCAGCGTTTCCAAAGACACCAAGAAGAAACAAGGGATAAGAAGGCGAGCAGATATCGAGAACGAAGAAATGGACACGACGGTGGTGCGGAGAAAAAGACACAAAGAGGGAGAGAGAGTACGGAGAAGACGTACCAGACGGAGGAAGTGAGGGGGGAGGAGGAAATAATAACGACCCCGACGTCGCAGTGCCGCAGAAAGGTTGACGACCCGATGCCAGGCGACGCCCTCTATCCCCCATGCCGTCCTGCCATCCCTTCCACTGCGTCCTCTGCAACAACCATCCCCCGTTCTGCAGCTACCACCACCGCGGCCACGGCATCCCCCACTCGTTGCCCGAAAACCACCCACCTGGTACTGCACGTCGTAAGCGCATAGCGTACGTACGCCAGAGTCACCCACCCTCCGCGTCATCCCTCTTTCTCTCTCTCTGCGTCGCTACTGCCGCCGCCACTACCACCACCCTACGACCGTCTGGCCAGGGTCGGGGTCATTGAACGTCTATAAAGATTTTGACTCCACGTTACTGCTGGTGCTGCTGCTGCCACCACCGCCGCCACTGCGGATGCAGCTAACCGTCGCCCTCCTGACGGGGGTACGCCCTTTTGTAAGGTGGTGTAACGCAATCTGCTACCCGGTAAGAACACCGCCGGGGCCTTTTCTTGTAATTTCAAACCAGCGATCGATATCGAAATTATCACGCTGCTCCCCGGTTTTCGGAGGGGATCGCGAAGGAGGGGCGGGGGGGGGGATAGTGTGTTGCCGGACGATGAACTTTTCTTCCCCGTCGGAATTATTTAGGGAACGAACGGGATGAACCGGGAGACGGTGGGGCGTGGTATTAGCCTATTCTCGAGAATGAGAAGACACGTCTGTGTGGTGCTCGTCTCGATTCGAACGGGGATTCTCCAACGACGGGTTACGAGGTCTTGGTGGATACTGGATGAATGGGATATGAATTATCGTTCCTGATATTTGTAGGGAGTAATGATGCTTCGATCAAGGATTGGGATTACAACGGAAACAGAAGCAGGTCGAATCAGAGATTATAGGATTATCTGTAATAATGCTCTTCAGACCGCCTCCCCTGTTTTCTCGCTTCGATAACACAGACCCAATTAGTAGAATTTGCATTTTGGCGAATAATTGGAACGAGAAGAATTAGATAGTGTTTTCTGTGATAGGGTAGCATAGTTATTATTATTAGGTTAAGTACCAATGTATTCTATTTTTATAATTGTTATATCTCACTATACTCCATTCTGCTTTTTTCCATTTCTACTTCCCTACTCCTAATTATATCTTCATTACACGTATATGTCAACGTAAAGAAGCGAGAATCCTCAACCAACGACCACACAAATCTCTCAACGGAAACTTATAAAAATTAATCAAGTATCAAAAAAGACGAAGAGACCTCAATCACTTCCTAGAAGAGCACACACCCCGAGTTAGCACGTAGACAAAAGAGACGAATAACCATCGAACCACCCCCTGCTCCCTCCCCATAGGATAAGAACGTTTTCTCGAAGGAGAGGCGAGGAAGACAAAGGGAACAGGGGTAAACGTTTGCTCGAGACTGAAGGAAATTTTCGTCACCCCCCCCCCTTCCAACCATCCCGGGAGAGTACGGATTGGCGCGTCTTGCCAGGGTCAGAGGTCGTTGAACGTCGGTAAAGATTTCGACTCCGGGGCGATGCTGGTGTTCCGCAGTAAATAGGCGTGCGTAGAGCTCTCTCCCGGCGCTCTCCCACCGACCTTCTCTGGCCGACGTGCAGACCGGGGAATACTCGGGCGCAGAGGGGTCAGAGACACCCTCTTGGCGATACACACCCTCCTCCGACGTGTAATCCGTGCACGGTACGCCGAATGCCATTACTGGTCGCGGTAAACCGCAAAATAGAAGCAAAAATAACTTGACCACCACCCCCTTCCCCACTTGGGAATATATTAGGTCATCGTGCGAATATGCACAAAGTACTTTGGCCAGTGAAGATTTTAGTAGATCCGCCAGAAAAACGATTTCTTGACTCTGACAAGACGAGGATATTTTCTTTTATGATGATTCTTGGCTGACGAAGGGGTTAAAAAGATACTGGAAAGCAGGGACTTCTACCGAAACGTAAAATACCGGTATTTTCGGTTGTACATGAATCTTCAAAGATTGAAATTTATTTTGAATAAAATTAAATAACATTAATCAATTACGAAATGGAACGTACAGAACGGGGCCCACCAGAGATTATTCTTTTATCGTGCCTTTAGTCAACGAAGTTTGCCATTCACAGCCTAATCGTAAATGTTATGTGGAACTTGAAAGTCTTTCTCTAATTTTCAATGTATGAATATTGAATAAGAGAAGAAAACATGTTCGCCCGTAATGAAGGATTATGAAGAATAAATTGTTAACCCCTAAATGCTCACACAGGTCAGTCATAACTTCTTAAGTTTTTATACCACTACAATACTAGTGATAATGGTCTTCAAAGATGTAAAACTCTTTCTTGAAACATGGATATCTTGTATCGAGTAATGGTGATACAAAGTAATATACAATGGCGATATGGAAAGATGTTTTTGAATGGTTCAATATTAATATTGTCCCTGGATGTCTTGCAGGAGACACCTACAGTGTAAACGTGGGCCTCGTTTACGCAAGTGCTAACTGACACAAGTACATCGGAGGACAGCGTGCACGCACAGTCGCGCACGTACACGCACGTGCTTCGCATTAATATCTCTGTTGGTAGCTTGTCGCAACGAGGTCCGTGCCAATAAGAAACGCCTCGGAAAGCTTTCTTTTATACATCGCTTGATTTTATTTTTTAACGGCGACAGGAATACGATGGTCGACGAAAGTCTGCTCCCAGTGGTTCTACTACATCCCCGCTCTTTAATTTCATAATTACCTCATCGAACAATTAACGGAGAGGAAGCAATACAATTGAACGAAATATAATCTATAAATACACTTTCTAACGAATACGTTGCGACACGTTGGGTTACTTTGTGACTTTAGTATGTAATAAACCGAATCGAAAGTCGGTGGTATTAAAATCAGAGCCACCCGGTTTCAATGACTTGTACGTCGAAACGTACATGATGACCCTGAAGAAAATGGCGAAGGTGGTTCACACAGTAAGTTGGAGTAAAAATAAAGACCATCTCCCTCAGGGTCATCTTGTATATATCGAACATTATTTTTCTTGTATACGAGAAAGGAGAAAGACTCACCTTGCTGAAGTAGCCGACCGTGTGACACCCCTCCGCGTCACCAATCGTCATCACGTAGAAAAGGAAAGGCTCCACGTCGTAGTACAGCGTCTTGTGGTCCAGAAAGAACTTCGCCAGCAGACAAAGGTTCTGACAGTACTGCTTGTAGCGCTTTCCATCGACTTCCCACACGCCTATCTTGTCTTTCCTATATCACAAGACAGATTTATAAGTTTTACGATGCAAGCTTTTCTATATATTTACGTTTATGTACCGACCTGTAGACCTCGTGTCCAGGCGGATGCCTCCACAAGCATTTCTCCCTGTGCCTCCTCAAAACCTGACGACTTTTCGCGTATCGTAAACAATATTCGCATAGATAAAGTTTCGGAGCACGGCTGTACTCCTCGGGATAAGGACTTTGGTACCACACCTCCATCTCCCACTTTCCCATCTCGATAACCCGTGTACCACCACTATTCCTACCTTCGCCATCATAGTCCAGTTCTTTGAATTCTTTTTCCTTCAATAAAGTACACAATATATCTTCACGACACATTGAAGCATAGCGAAACATACACTGACATTCAACTTACGATCTTTTCACTGGCGATCGCTTGGGCCTCCATGAACAATTTCAAATCGTAATCGGGTGTCAGGTTCGTCAATCGCGGTTGACGATCCTTCTCATTTCCTTGGAGTTCACTCCCGCTGTCGCTGTCGTTTCCATCACCGGCACTCCCTTTCCATTTACTTCTTAGCTCTCTTACTTTGAGCTGATAGTTACGCTGCTCCGTCGTCTGGTGTACGCCTTTTGGAGACTTTTTCGCGAGACACGCTACAGCCTTTTTCCGTTCATCCTCGCGCTTTTTTCTGTCTTTATAAAACTCCCTGTATAAAATAGGAAACGTCAAAATGCTTAAACGAACTGTTATGCACGTAAGCTGATGCATCGCGGGTCGGGACCACAATGTAAGTGATCGTTCAAGGTCACTTGATCTTGCGTCAAGCAGAATTCACTCCGAAGTTCCCTTGATCGACCAAAAGTTATGGACTCGCGAAAGTAGGTAAAATGCAACTTACACGCAAGCCTGCGGCGTGGTATTGTGATACAACGGACAAGATTCCAGAGTGAAGTGCAAATCAAGTTTTCCAGAAAGATGACCCCGAGAATCGCATGTCTGCGCTAATGGGCATTCTCTCTCCTTGGTCACGCGTGCACGAGCGTAATTTCCTTGGCCGGATCTTCCGCCGGTGGCATTCGAACTGGCACTGTTCTGAGAGACCCTATTCGTACTGGAAGCGTGTCTGGCTTGGGTGCTAGGCCCGGCCCGTTTGACCGGCGATTTGCTGGTGCTCCTCTTGCTCTCGGCTACTCTCGATAAATCACACCGGATCAGCGGAATTTGCAGGATACGCTTACACGCTACCGTTTCCGTACCTGAGAACCATACTGCCGCCGTAAGCAAAAAGACTGTATCTGCATCTTAGGACACCTTGGACACATGCTTTTTTGTATACGAAATTGTTTGTCCCATCAACCACTGGTTTCCTACGGGCCACATATATATATATATATACATGTCCAATCCATCCATCCAGAACCGCAAATACTGCTTTTTTGTGTTAAGGAGGCAGCATAGAGTCCTAAATCCACCGCCTGCAGAAAGTACGTTCCTACCCGCCTCTTTTCAAGGAAATACTATTCATGCTCTTTTCCACGACTTCTATCTCGCTCAACTAACGAACGTATTTAAAGATACTGACTATGAGAGAACGGTGGTACTACAATTTACTTACAACTTCTAGTCTAATAGGTGTCCTCTTTTTTTTTTTTTTTTTGGAACAAAGCTGATAAGAGGGACTGCACTTTTATTGGAGAAAAAATTATAAAAATTATTTAACTAAAAACCGGTTAGTTCTATCTAAAATCCAAAGCAATTTCATTCAACTCACGAAAATAATTGGAGATACTGAAAAGAAATTTTTGGAGACAACGAAAAGAAACCAGAGGGACCAAACAGAATATAAACATGTGACTGATAATCCGATGGATAGCCAAAATGTTAAAAGATACCACATACAAACAAAAACTCAATTCACAAAGGAATAGGGCCAAGGAGTTGCAGATTAGTGAAGGAATGGTTGCACGCTATGGTATTATAACCTCTACTATATATTCATACCTGCGTCGGATTCTGAATCACTTGCTGCCTTCGCTTGAAGCTGAAGTAATTTGCTGCCTTTACGTGTCTGCAACTTTCGTTTGCCTTTCGTTGTCGTTTTCGACGTCGTGGTCTCCTCGTGCTCGTCAATTTCTTTCTCACTGGCCGATGCATCGGCTTCATCTTCGCTTTTTACTGTACCTAAATAGAAAGACATATTTCCAGAATGATATTTCAATGTTCCATAAAAATACATATATGTAGGATTATTAATTTTGTTCTTACTTTGTCTTTTTGTACACTTCTGTGGTTTCACAGGAGCAACTGCTGCAGAAGGTCGTTTTGGTGGAGCATTAGTTGCAACGCTCACTGTTACACTCGGTTGAGATTCTTTTTTCTGCGCCTGAGGTCGTGGACTCGCTACACTTTCGGATGATTCGGAATCTGTGCTACTGTCTGAGGAAGCAGAAGAGCCTGACCCTGCAGAACAGCTCTTGGAGCTTGCAGAGCTATCCGATTTCTGTGGCTGTACAGCTTTTGTCAATAGACCTAATAAAATCATACTATTATTTTAAGATACTTACTGATGAAATATACCACGTTACCTCATGCTACTCACTGGGTCTGTTCAGAGCAGATGTCTTTTGTTTTGGATCATTTGGTTTTGTTTTGGGTGGCTGATTCTTTGCATACTTGGTAGAGCTATTTGTTGGCTTTAATATAGTAGTCTTCGGAAGAATAGCACTGTCGCTTTCACTACTATTTTCTGGGCTAAAGATACTCTTCTTTTTCAATTTCTTTTGCACAGGTTCAGATGTTGCTTTTATAGATTTATCTGGCCCTTTTCCATTGGCACTTGTAGATGCTATTAAACAGAATATATCTGTTAGTAAATAGAATAAATATATTTTTACCAGATGTCTTTAGAATATATTATATTCTTACTAGCAGCTTTATTAGGTTTGTTACCAACTGGTTTAGGATTTGGTGCATTCTTCTGTTGTGTAGAAGTCAGAGTGGACTTAACAGGCAGTCTTTGCTGTTTAACAACAGGGGCTACTGTGGCAGTAGCTTTAGGTTTGGCTGCTGGTTTTCGCTTTGCTGACTTCACCTTATTAGGTGATTCTTCAGATTCAGAAGAATACACTACAGGTTTAGTCTTTGGCAATATTCTTTCTTTGTTTTTACTTTCACAGGATGGAGCTGAAACTATATCGGCTTTCGACTTGCCATGGCGATTGGTAGCAAATGGTACTTTCTTTTTGGTTCTGTCTGTGTCAGATGCTTTCTGGCTATTAGCAGAGCTACTAGAATTTTCCGAATCAGACGAACTAGATTCACTGCCAGAACTAGAAGAACTGCTGGATGAGGAACCAGAACTCGTTGTTGAAGTAGATTCGGAACTGGTTGTCTACCATTTAACAATTACATTTTATGAGTTAATAACTGAAACTTTTCTTTACAATTTGCTGACTTGAAGCCCATACCGATTTGTTTCTATAACCTAAACAAAGTTTACGTACCTTCCGTTTTGGAGTCATTTCTATGGTGCTATCTTAAGGAAAGGCAAGAACAAATATTGTCTAACATCATGTCTGCAACAATTCTCAGATTTCTCCAAAACATGTATGTTGGAGGAATTATTTACAACCCTTAATTCATTTAAGGCAACAAACTTTTTATCTCACACACTTCTCTGACTTCTTCACTACAAAACACATATCACTTCATGTCTGAAACCTTATGGTGTGAAAATTCTTTCGGTGTCCCGTATTGTTACTAAGATAAACTCCCTAGTTCCTACATTGGTTGCTCTCAGTCTCAGGATCGTACGATTAAATTTAGGGCCCTCGTACCTCATTTTAGGATCCTAACTGATCCTCACTGATCCTACTCTACAGACAAATGAAAGAATGTTAGTTGATCTTAATTTAAAATACGAATTCAGAACCTGATATACGATTACAAATCTTACTTCTAATTCTTTTTCACTGTGTTCTTATATGACAGAGGACAAAGTATAGCAACGATAATCATCCACGTAAATACTCAGTTTACGTGGCCTAAAGTTATTGGATTTCGAACATAATTAGGGTTAGTCGAAGAAAAAATCGTTCGAAAGAGTCCTTACAAACTTGTAGATATTATGGATACATATACTAATTGAATATTTGGCGAACTACTCACGATTGTATAAAAAATGTGGAAATATTATGGGATTTGTAGTTTGCTTTTCATCGTAATCGTTGTCGTACATGGACACGATTTCCGAAGTTTTGATGACACTGTTTTGTTTAAAATCAATTGGCCAGGGAAATCTACTTCCGATTTATTGGTAAGTATAAGCCTGGAAAGTAATTAAAATAGTTTTTTTTAATACACTGGTAGGTTAATTTTTTTGTAGGAGTCCCCTACAAATGTAGAGCCTTACTTTATAACTACAGCAAACAATGAACGATATCAGTGTATGATTCCTGATACTGCAGATCAAGAACCAGATTATTCTGAACCGTATGAAGGAGCAAACCCAATAGAAATTTTATCAGTGTTGTTTACTCACAGTACTTGTTCTTACAAGGTATGAACTCCGAAATTTACTAATAGACTTATAATGTATACTTCTATGCATTGCTGTCAAAACTTGTTGGATTTATTTTTTTTTATATAAGACCAATATAATTTGTACAGGTTGAATCATATTGGACATACGAATTATGCCATGGACGATTTGTACGTCAGTATCATGAAGACAGAGATGGGAAGAAAGTTAAAATACAAGAATATCGTTTAGGTACATTTGATAAACGACAGGAAAAAAAGCTGATGGCAGAGTATTCAGAACGAGATACAAGGCCTAAAAAGAAGGCACATATACCGGTTACAAAAGTTGATGGAATCAATATGCCTTATGTTGAAATTGAGATGGGTGATGGTACAGTTTGTGATTTAACTAATAAGCCACGAAAAATTAAAGTTCGATATGTTTGTTATCAACATGGTAGACATGAATTATTTTCACTGAAAGAACCTTCAAGTTGTGAATATGAAGTTATTGCCCTGTCTCCTTTGCTATGCCTTCATCCTGATTATAAACCGCAAGGGACAGGAGGGAATGAAATCAATTGCTTGCCAGTTGATAATGCACTGAAGAAACCAAGGGCTCTGGTTTCAATGGAAAGAGAAAGTTTGAAACTACGTCATCAAAAAGTGATGGTAAAGCCAGTTTTTCTCCACTGAATGCACTTAATTATTTATTATTTATGATTCTCGTGTTGTGTATATATATATATATAAATAATGTTATTGTCTAAAATAAATATTTTTTCATATATGTATACTTCTTGTGTATAAAAGTTGCAACTTTTATCACTAATTTATACAAGAAATATGCAAGTGCTTATTTAAAGATTGCTCTTAAATATTGTGCAATGCACTTTATCCATATAAAACATTATACCTTACCCAGAAATAGAAAACTGCTTTCATTGATATTGATTTTGTTTTTTTTTTATACACAATTTACATTACGTGTCTATTTAAACCATAAGTTCTTTTTTCAGCCTAGCATTAATTAATTTTGTTTGTTTATCATCCATATACTGAATTCATTATTTGTTGCACAGGATGACAAGCTGCAGAAAGTCTATGCGATCCTACATGTAGATAAGGAGGGCCAGGTCAGAATATTTTGCATCTTTGAAACCAGGCTGAATGCTTGGTGGCTCTTGTCATTCTTCATCATTAATATGTATCTTATTCTGTCCCTTCCTTTTCTACATACATTTGTTTCCTCTGAGACCGCATATCACCTAAGATGGTATTACAATAACAGCACAGACACCATTTATTTACTATTATGTCTATTTTATCACAATTTCCTTTACTTTATTTTATCACGAAACTCACAGTATTTTCAGTGTTTGTCAGTGTCGCTTTTGCACATTGCTTTTAACTATTGAATTCAAACACTTCTTCGATATTTCTATCATATAAACGATACTTTGGCATCGGATGCTAAATAAAGTATATTTTTAAAAATGAATTCGGAATATTGTAATATTAAAAATCAGCAGTTTGTACAATCGTTGCTTGACGTAATACGAAAAGATAATAAATAGTACTCTTGAGCGTTCACATTTCTAACAGTCTTGTTGAGTATAACATTAACATTGTGAAGCTGTTTGTTTAGTGGCTACCGTAATAATAATTTAATCAACATTGACGTGTACATTTCAGGATGGTGAAGCACGCGTTAGAGTTGAAATACATCCGGTCGATGTCATCGATAAGCATAATAATGCTGAAGATTCTATAAATTCAATAATTGAAAAAGGTATAGCCCCGGCCGAAGTAAATGCCGTAAGGAATTTCTTTAGCGGAAAGAATTGCTTACACGGGGTGAGTATCCCGTTTCGCGTTATCTACTTATGTAGTCGCGTGAATAAGATTTCATTCTTGCGAATAGGGCAACGGATGGTGGAAATATGTATTCTGCTACGGACGTTCCGTGATTCAGTATCACATAGAGCGCGACGGCACCAAAACTATAGTGAACCTCGGTAAATTCAACGAGCAGAAACACTTAGATTGGCTAGCCGCGCATCCACATAAAAGACCGGAACTACGGAAACAACTTTCTCATTTTTACAGCGACGGAAGTATTTGCGAGAAGACTGGTAATCCGAGACAAACCGAGGTACAGGGAAGAACGATTTTCATATTTCGAATTCAACAACTCGTAATTACCGAGCAATTAAATTCCAGGTGAAATTGAAATGCGTCGAGGGTCAATCGGTCAGTCCGTCCAGCATTTCTATATTTCTACTTGAACCAAAGACGTGTGAATACGTGCTGGGAGTTGAATCGCCGTTTATTTGTGATATCTTAGAATTCTATGATTCGAACGCATTTCTCAATGTGAAGTACGAAGTAAATTTCGATAAGTTAAAGACAAACATTTTCCACGAGTACGTGGACTTAGACGAAAGGATAGCAAACGAGGACGACTAGTGGTGATACGTTAACAATCGCAGGAAAAAAGTTCCAACGGTAGAAGTGATAGTAACGGATTGCTGGACACTTGCGCATAGTTCTAACCTAACTAAATCGTTTCTCTAGAATTCAATCCTTCTCGGTATACGACCGTCATACATCAAAGGTTTCGTGTGTACAGAATGCACGTTACAACACTAATGCAATCATACAAATTCTATCGACTTGTCGCGCTTTTCACATATTGTTACGAATTCTAATGGTTGTAACGGTACAAAAAGTTTTTTTCTATTCTGTAGGCTTTCGGAAACAAAATAAAGACCTACTTACACTAATTTCCTTGTATCTTCAATGTTTTATCGCGTCGCAGACGACCATATCATGTGCGTTGTATAGTACTCACGTACACTCGACCGTGTACATTATCATTGCCCGATATTGAGACCCACGCCGACGCGAAATTGTTGCTTCCTGTGATTCAAGAGTCCACTGATGACCAACGAGGACTCCGGTATAGGATACAGTCTCTTTTCAAATACGGCGCCAACAGTGGTCTCGGAGTTAACTATACCGCGGAACACGAGGTCTGCATACGGGACATTTAGTTTGTAGACAATAGTGGCGATCGAGTGGTGAGTTCGCAAGTTTGTCTCCAACTCGACGCCAAGCTCCAGTTGCGAACTGGCTTTACGATGATAACACACGTGGAATCCCGCCTCGCCAATCGTGCCGGACAGTGTCGTGTGACCTGTACTGTGTCTGAATGCGGCGCACATTACAGTTTGCTGTCCACCGGGTATTTTCGAGCCTCGAAGACACGCGAGTTCTGCCCCTAAGGTGATCCTGGACGTGATCGATTGTAAGTAATGCAATACCACGGTTCCGTGTTTTTTGGGGAACCTAGGATTGGCCAGGGTAACCGCTATCGTGAAATCGTTCGCGCGATACTCCGCGGTGGAACTCGACGCTTTGCATTTTCCATCGGCGATCTGTGCTGACAGCTTGTATCTGAATCGACATCCTAATGTGTGCATGAACGAGGCGGACAAATTTCCGTTCGGCGTAATTTCACCCACGGCAACGGGGTATTGCTCATTCGGGCCCACCATCTTCGTGCCAACGTACTTCGCGCCAAATTTATAACCGGACGGCGTGACAGAACTCATGGTGATCGAATGCGTCACGCTAAAGTGTTTGTTGAGCACTTTTTTGATTATCAACCGTGCTCCCTCGAAGTTCTGCGGATAAAGGTTCTTCACCGGTTTGTGAAGCTCGTCGAAACTTCCCGGATTCCCGGGTCCTTTGTCTTGTGGCTCCACGCATGGCACGCAGTCTTTCTCGTCCGATACTACGCTTGGGATTGTTTCCTCTTTCTTTGCCGACGCGTGCACCATGCCCATTGCGATGCATTAGTACTTTGAGAGAGCTGGTATGGAAGGGTTTTCGTTCAGGTGTTCTCTAATTTTATCCCTCGCGTACATATACGGACGGAATGCGATTCTTAATTCGTTCGGGTTATCATTTTAAGTCCTCTGCCAGTTTCAAAACGTGAATCGCGCAAGCGTAGTCGAGACTCGAAATATGGATCGACGCGATCCACGCGGCGATTCTTGAAACTTCGGTCTGTAGTACATAACTTGTCCGCTGGATGGTTTCGTCGTTGTTCGAGACGCACAGGCTTCTCGCTAGTGTTCATGGTGTCTATCTTTTGTATATATACGGCCAGCGAAGCAAGTCTCTCGGAAGTGTGTGCTAGTGATGGCACAGCTGAACATTGATCGCTAACGTAGAAATTGTGGCAGATCTGCTCAGTGAGTGTTGTTACGTGGTCGCTTCAAGTAGCTTGTGTTCGGCTCCCGATTGCGCGTTCAGGTTCGTGGTTTGATAAAAACCTCGGATTTCCACGCCTGCACGGTCGAGTCTTCACGTCGCTCCTCGAACTACCGCGATTTCCAAATTGGGGGGCAAATCGAATAGGTCAGACGAGGTTGTAATTTGTCGCTTCCATATACAGGCACTGCAGCACGCAGTATGCCATGTTTTTTTTTTAAATTATTTATTAAAAACAATTTTCGTATAAATTACACAATTTAATAATCCACAATTGAATTTTTTACAAAACAGGAAGTAATTAGTGATGGGTGAAGAAGCGTTATTTTTTTAACGTTCATTTTTAGATATAATTAGTACAATCAACGGAACTTAACGTTAATCGCGCAAAATAAAATCACGTTAAAATCTTCTTTTGCGCCTCGCTGTTTATTTCAGAGGCAACTTGCGTAAACAGAAGATTCCAATTCCACACTTCGTCCGGTTCCTTTGTGAGATTTTCATTGTACAATTTTTTCGCGAGGAGAGACAAATTGACGCCGTTGAGGGAAGTGAACGCGGCATTTTTTACCAAATCTGTGTCGAGTTCCTTATATGCGGTAACTCTATTCACGTTCACTCTGCCAGATAGTTAATAAATTAACGAGTAATTATAAGAATCTGAGAGGAAGCTTAATAACAAAGAACATTTAACGATACATACGCAGGCGTATTGATATCGGATACCGCACAGTCTTCCTGTATTTCATCCAAATCCGGAATAGTCGGAATATCTGCAAATAATATAACATTTATATATTATTCATGTAATCAGAAGTATTTCAATCGATACTCTATCAGTTAAGAATTCCTTATAAAAATTCCTTACCGTCCACGAATTCGTACTTTTCGGTCCCCCGGGAACGTTCTCTAATAAACAATCGATCGGTAATTACACACCTGCTTTCTAATCGTGTACATTATACTTACTGTTCGATAACACTCGCTGCTCCTCGTGATCTGCGGGGCAGAAAAAGAAAGAATATACAAAACTTAATAATTAAATTCCTTGTTTTTAAGAACAGAGGGCGCAACTAAATAACTCACCTGCTGCTTTTCAGATCGTCTCCCCATCCCGTTTTCCTGGTACGCGGAGGTGCAACAGGTGGTTGCGTGAATTTTCTAGAGGACGCCGATACAGGACTTTCTAGAAGATCATCGTCCGACTTGGTATCCTCCTGCGTGACATTTTGGGTTGATCGTCTGCCAAGACGGGGTAAAAGCTGAAAATCATACCGTACAATCTCACACATATACTATAAAAACACATACTGGATGTACCTGTTTTTTAATAATAATTGTTATGTTTCATTGTAAACAACAGAATAGCTAACGAGGGTCACAGGAATGGAAACCCATACTACCTTTTTCGAAGTGATTTCCAAATCCGCGGCCCAGTCCATGGTTTACCTTCTCCAGGTCTTTCTGCAAGAATAATATGGTTCACGCGAAGTGTGTGTTTGCTAGCTAGTAACCATAACAACCAACTGACCGCCCCGCCACGCTATGCGCCGTTGAATCGACTTCGCTGTGCTCGTCTCTTCGGCGTTCCCTCTCCTCTTCTGCATTGGACGAACCGCGAGAAACGTGACTGGAAACATCTCCGGGGGGAACGATGCACGAAAACCGGTTTCAAAGCTTTCGAAGCTATTCGACAATGGCGGGTCTTTTTAAAACTCGCCCGATTATGGTATGTATTCAGGAATCTCATAGGAGGCAGTGTGGGTATGTGTATGCAACTATACACATTCAATTTAATTAAAATTACTACGTTTATTGCCTGTACTGCGCCATACAAAGCTCTTCTAAACGCTTAAATACAACTAAATAAGTATAAATGCAGTGTTCTCTTGCAGATACTCTACATCGTGAACGCTGGTTAAAAACTGGGGAATGTACAAATTAATAGTACTTGGTGTTGTCGATCTGTCGTTGGTACTCTTCGTCGTCGGGATTCGCGTCGCAGCCGTTGTCGTTGTTCGGTGGTCTGACCCCGTTGTACCTACGGAAAACAAATGATTACACAAGTAATACACACGTCAGAATACAGAATCTACGTTACAGATGCACTTCAATGCATTAATCGTCACGGACAAGGCCGTTCCTGGGTTGTTGGCCGCCCGGGTACAAAAACAGTATCGCCGCCCTTATTCACTTAATATTATTTAATCAAGAATTTGATATGCAGTGTTTACTTTTAATAATCTTTATTTCCATAAAATGAAACAAAGATTCTTAAAAAATAAATGGTTTTATTTTATGTTATCATATACTATCTTGAGCTGTCCATAAAGATAGTTTCATTCTTGTATACGAGCACTGTTACAAAAATTCGATATAAAACTAATTTCATTGAATTTTGATCTAAAATTTTTACAGTCATAAAAAGTGGTTTCATTATTATTCTTAGTCAAAATTTCACATATAATAAACGATCTGTCCCTTGGTTTGGCCGCCCAGGGTCACTTTTTGCACTCCCGCCAGGAACGGCCTTGTCCACGGAAGTGTTTCGAATCGAAAAACCTGGAAAAGTCTCCTTTGCATAGCCTCCATGGCAGCACGTCTATCCTCTCGTGCAAGATCGGCGATATTTCCGGACTGACGAAGTTCGGGGTCCCAGCGCCGGAACCACGGGTCAGGAGTCTCCTCCTGCGATCGTAACAGCAGTGCTGGGCGGCCGCACTTCCGCTTTCTTGCGTCAGCAACGAGCGCACGCAGTAGGCCGCGCCGGGCTTGTAAACGTCGAGCCTTTGAGAGCCGCCGCTCACGTCCCGCCACCTGAAATGCCTGGCCAGCCGTTCGTCCCAAATTTTGTCGTCGTAAAAGATGTTGCTCGGGTATTGACAGGGGCAGCCGGGCAACGTGGCCAAACCACCTGTAAAAACGGGAATCAACAGAATTTCGTGGAACCATCGTCGACAATAGATCCCCTTCGGCGGGGTCACTTAAGCGGCGTTTACACCAGGCAACTTTTGGTCGGCCGACCGAGTCGATCGTAAAAACGATTTTTACTCGTTCAACTAAAAGTTGCCCATTGGTCTACTTTGGTTTCAACTGTAGTTGACCGTGTAAACACCGTGAAATCGTAATTGACGGGCGATTGACACAGAACGTTCATAGTTTCATGACATCTCTATAGGACAGACGAGAATGTCTGGGATAGATTGAAATTCACGGAATATAAATAAATTTATAGTCCAAGTGATACATACAAGAATTTAAATTTTAAAAAAACTTAGGAAAGAAGGAGTCGAGTCAAGTCGATCGATTCGGTCGTCGAACCGAAAGTTGCCTAGTGTAAACGCCGCTTTACCTAAGAAAACTTTCTCGAGTTTATCCCGGCTGTTCAACCATTTCTGGCAGGGATCCTCGTTGGTCGCGTTCACGAAATTCAATTCTTTGAAAATATCCCGACCCTCCACAGCGGAGGCGTTCCGCAGGCTTTGGAACAGTTTGCTCAATAGAACGCCGAGGCCCTCGTGGAATGTCACTTGGTCATCGATTGCCATGTAAATGGACGTGGAACGTGTCTCGTCCCCGTAATCGTCGCTACGGTTACGTTTGTCCTTCTTCGACCAGGCGTCGATCCACGATGGCATATTCGTGTCCTCGAATTCGATATCCTCCAAAAGACCCCGTTCATCGTACGACTCTATCAATTCGGATCCTAGTGGATCGTCGACAGCCCCCGAGCCGTTTCTTTCCCCCTTGGTCTCGTTATTCATTTCCTGTGTGAACAATCGACCAATGTATTATTTATCTCCGTTACTCTCTTATAACCGATGTTTACCGATCGTTCGACACATTACCCGCGCTCGATCGATATTTGTTCCGGGAATCGATCGTTCTCCCTCGTGTTGTTCCGACACAGCATTCGTCACGTCCCGATCGTTCTTCGTGTCGTTCTGTCGCGAAGGATACAATTTCGCAACTGTGCCCCGCGAACAGGCCGAACGATTTCTGCAGCGACGTCGTTTCCGGTGTTTCGCGTGTCTCGTGGGCAGCGTTTCCTCTTCGACCTCGTCGTTTCGTTTGCTTCTGAGAGGGATGCTGATCCACGAGGAAGGGAGTAATCTCAAGGCCGATCGGCCCGTAACGATATCGTCCAGATTTCGGCTGGTTTCATCGTCGTCTGGCTGTCAGGACGAATCCAACGACCGAGTTAATTATTTTGTTGGGGAGATGAAAGGGAAAAAATAGAAGACCGAATCGATCGACAGGACACGATTGGTAGAAAAGGAGTGGAGTTCCTGGAGTTAGACGCGATCGTTTCGACGTTTGCGACGAAGGAGGGCAACGGTCGGCGCGAGATCAAAGGGGAGGCCGTGTTTGGCTCGTGGATGAGATACGGGGGATCGACGGAGGAAGAGAAAAGGGACGGTATACACCACGCTGGAATGGAATGGAGCGGGGCAGAATGGGATATACACGCTCGGCGGATTCGAGAGACAGAACGTTTCCACTTCTGGGAAGCGTACGTTGCCGGAGATCGTTTCCCGTTCAATGGCGTAGCAGCCACGTAAAAAGAATTTTCGTTTCCTGTTCGCGTTACAGGAAACGTTTCGCGTGCTCTTAAAACTAGTAACTTAATATCAATTAATTAATATAAATATTATTTCAACCATTTTTAAAGGATTCTATGGAAGTGTAGTATAGTCAACAGTCTTTCTATTATTGGTTTATTCTAGGTACTCAACAATTGGCCTTACAGAAAGAAACCTCCAGTTGGCCCTTCATATTATAGTGACGTAGGCGATCGTTGTTTACACGCGAATGTCACGTGGGCCGAGTGTAAGGCACCTGCATAAACCGTAAAAAAAAAAAACAATAATACGACGATACTCACTTGATTTTTCGAATGGACGACGGAAGTAGCGGAGATCGATGGAAAGACGAGTATCCAGCAGATCAAGGCGAAGGCTCTCATGTTTATCACGAACTATCGTCTCGCACACCGTTTGTCATAATGCTCCCTCGATCCAACGGAGTTCGAGCACATGATATCCCGAATCGTCTCGCTCATAGGCAGCCGGCATTACGTTCGATTTGTCACCGATATCGCGAAATAAATCGGCAGGCTCGATCTTCCCTCCATCCCCTCCGATTGATCCTGCAGAGATGCGCGTTCGTATTCGGTTCGATCGACGGCCGCCACAAGGACGTCACGATGAGTCTTCGAATCGTTTTTAAGTATTACACGCGAGGAGGGATCGGCCGGGAGAGGAGGCTGTGAACGATCGGGCCGTGTCAACCGGACTGTCGATACATACCGTCTATGCCCGGGCGGCGAAGTGAAGACGATAACGTCGGGGCGGAAGAGAGATAACTAACGCCGGGTGGAAGCAACGGCGAGCAAAAAGGAAACCGAAAAAGGAAGACAAGAGATGAAACAACGCCGCCGCCGCGGCGCAAATACACGTAGCCACCACGAGGCGCGCACCGTTCAAAGGCCTGGCACCATATGTATAGTTGTGAACCGGTGAAGTGTTTCTCTGATGCTGCTGCTGTTCCACTATAATGGCCAACGTGCTGGTAGTAGTAGAGAGAAAGAGGAGAGAGACTGTTCGAAGAGGTAGCGCGCCAGATGACAGAACACTACGTCATTGTACCAGACCAGTACAGTTCACGGTGTTAGCGTTAGAGATGGCGTGAACTGCTACTTGTGAATCACGAGTGATTCGATCAAGTTCGTTCCCAATCACGGTGATTTTTCACAGTGATTCGTGATTTTTAAAAACACAAATAGTAATGTGATTGATCGTAAAATCATATTGAATACGTTTTTCTGTTTAAAGATCAAGGACTTACGATCGCAGTGAGCAAATTCACTTGAGATAAAAAAGTCGGAATCACAGTCGTGAATGAAGTTAAATCACGACAGTGATCGTGATTCGGCAATCACTGTGATAAATCACTGGTAGTGATTTTGCACGCCATCTCTAGTTAGGGTTTCTTACTTAGCGGGCAGCTCTCGGGGACTTATCGGTTTTTCCTTTACGAGTACGCAGAATTCTGCTCGTTCTTTCTCTGTTTACTGTTCTCCGTTCCCTCGACGCCGGTCTAGGCCTCCTCTCCTTCGACCCAGCACCCCCTTCCACCGTTCAACATCCATAATAACCCTTCCGGCGCGGCCTGCTCTCGGCTTGACCGCGTTCCTCCCTCGGCCCCTTCCCTTATTTCTCTCGCCCGTTCTGTGTACTTCGGTGAACCGATTTCTGTTTGACCATTTATATTCTTGAATTATTAGATCGATACAAAAGTTCGTACCATTTGACAAAAATTGAAGAAAAATTGTACTTTCTTACATAGGTGCGTTTTCAACGTTCAAATTGCAAATTTTTCAACATTCATTTTTAATTATCAGATACATACAAGTACATGTATTTCCTTGTTTTTATGGAAATCAGAGTCCCGATATAATAATAAAATTTTCTGTTTACAATCCGTAATACGTTACATGATTATTAAGTAAAATAAACAAAGTGACAGTATTAGGAACACTGACAGTAATTGGGACATTTACCATATTTACGCCCTGCATCGACTAGAAAATCTGAAGTGGGTGCAAGGAGTAGTACAATATGGTAGGTGATCGAAATAAATACAGAAAGCTTCTTGGAAAACGGCAACAACAGGACAGAAATGAATTGTCCGAGTTGTATATCGTGCTCGTTACAGTTCCAACCAAGATCAGCGGAGCCGCGGTCTCCTCGATTTCAGAATCTACGAGGCATCCACCCGTTGCGTCTCCGATAATTATGTAAACGAGAATAATAAAGACCTGGCCAATGGCACAGTAAAGGAACCTGTGTATTACGATACCGTGTGTATCTAAATACAGCGGTGGGATGCAATGGAACGCGGTTCCGGTTATTTTTAGCCGGGCATATTCGAAAATACACACGGGGCGGATTAAATATAACCGAGGATGCACGCGCGCGGAATGCAGTACCGATGGGCACGCGAACGGTCACGCTGCTTGGCAAAATATGCTAATTTCCAGTATACAATATATACAGCGGATAAAAAAAAGTATTCGTACACAGTTTGAAACGGAACAACTCTTTCAAAATTGGACCAAGTACTTTGAGTTTCTTTGTGAACAATTAGTGTACTAAATAAGTTAAGAAAATGTTGAAAAAGTTGCAACTGGTCGGAATCGCGAAGAAAATAGTAAAGGTCGTTTTTTGCAACTTTATAATGAAAATTTAACAAATACATTGCTTAGCATTTATGTTAGTTACATGAAGATTCTCGCATCTTTCTGAATACTGTTACAGAAATATATGCTATTAACAAATAAATAACGATTCATATGTATAGGATAGATATATATGAAACTGATTGCGTATAAAATGAACAATGAAAGTCTATTTACACGGCATAAGTAATTTTTAATGAAACCGTGACTTCATCACACTATTGAATTGACATCACGTCAATTTCAAAACACCACACTGTTACTTAGAATATTACGTAATATTCGCATCCTGTCCCATAGAGAATTTATCTTGTCATCGTTACAATTGTCTTCGAGCGTAGGGACGTTACCACCACCCGGGACAATAAATTAATTTATCCTTCCATGTCGCGACACGCGTTAAAGAAGGCGGAAATCGAGGACAACTACGCCGAGGAGCAGAGGATCAAAAACCTAAATTTACCTCTTGGACAAATTGGCCCTCCACCTCCTGGGGGCCTGTGGGGGGAATCGCGTGGGTGGAAATGTATATTCGTGCAACGAGTTTCGAAAGGGAACTAACGAGAAAACAGGAAGACAGCCAACGGGATATCACCTAATCGGTCCCAATTTTCATTCGATTCTTCTACGTCCCCGTTCGTTACGCTCGTTGAGATTGTCACACGAGGCACAGCGGTATACAAATCGTCCAACTGATTTGTTTACCTTCTCTGGTATTCCGAACAGGGATATAAATCGGTATGATTTTGATACCGGTATTATGTTATCAAAGCTACACCGAAACCGATATATTACAGAAAACCGAAATAAATACCGGTATTTATTCGGTTTCTATAAGGGTAGGGCTTATATAGGGTTATATAGGGCGAAGGTTCAACCGGAAATACCGGTATTTACGTTTCGATAGAAGTCCCCGATTCCGAAACACGGTCGATGCCGTGGAAACGAAAATATTCGCGACGATATAAGTACGGGATTACATAGTGTTTCTTCTCAAGAATTTCTCCAAAAATAAAAGTAAAGTTTTGTGATTTCTCATTTCTCGAGGAATGTAAAATAGAAAATAGAAAATTAGAGAATATTTTGATTATAGAAAGTATCGGTATTACAAAGTAAGCACGTAAGAATGTAGCTTTGTAGTACTTTTGTACTTAACCCCTGTGAATTCGCACCAGGAAAAAATTTCAAGGATTCAGTATTTACAGGTATAATGTGACCATATGGATCTCGTTTCATTCCGTTAAATGTGTCTTAAATATGTCTATATCCCCTACAGTGGCCAGGTAGTAAGAGCCCGACGGTCATTTACGCGTTAGTCTTCGAAGAAACGACATCGGGAATGTGCGTTGGTGTGTGCCTACAGTGAATGCTGGAACGAAGTGTGCCTACCACCAGTTAAACACCGGTAGCGATGAAATTCCGCGACTGCCTTTCTGCACTCAAGCGGCGCCAAAGTCATCGTCTGCGTCCAACTGTTACCGTCACGTTTCATTTTATTGGCACGGCTCTGGAAAATTTACGCCACGAATTTCTGTTCGCCAAAACGAAAAACCACGTCGATACATTCACCTGGGTTTCAGTTTAGTCGGATTATTTAAGGATAAATAACGTCAACGTCGAAGGCCATAAATGCGTCACGATCAGAAGATCCAGGATGAAGAATGTAGGGGGGAATCGCATAAATATCCGTTTTATTCCATCGTAATTAAAATATAAATAATTCTAACGTATAAGATACATCTCATTATATACAACAGTTCCGACTAATCTTCCTACGGTTGCTGATTATAGTTAATAATTTAACGAACGATACAGGGTACATTTCGGGACACGCGGTGACGACAACGCGGTACGTATAACCGTGCGCGAATTTAGGAATGTTCTTATGTACAAATTCGGGGGGATGGAAGGGAGGGGGATGATCGATCGAACAACGATCACGAGGCGAATCTCTGGGAATGACTCTCTGTGTACTGACGCGCGAACCTAACGTCAGGTCCAGACACGAGCAAAAATCCCGTCCACGCGCAACAGAAAGGTAGGCTTGTAACTATTTAAAAATTAATATTTTATACGCCCGGTATAAATATATAATTTTCCTTCTTTTTTAACACGGTAATTAATGTTCGGCTGGGCATGATAACAAATAGATATTCCTTCTGATATTTTCCAGAAGACCCATTAAAATCAACTCTTTCAAGAGTGTTCTGCAATCCGCGTGTCTAGACCTGGCTTAATGTTGCTTTTTATATCGATGGCCGCATTCACACACTCTCCATCCTCGTCTCCCATACACGTGGTCCATTCATTCTCTCGATATCATCCTCTACATCTCTGTCGATGACTTCCTCGAACCTCCACGGTTCGCGGCAAACCGCGCGACAGCTTCTTCCGTAAGAATTGCATACTCGCCTCGGTCCCCGTATGGACCCAGCATCCCCCCCCCTCCCCCGTTTCGAATTAACGACACCCGCAACGATCCGCGATCATGTCCTGATAAACTCGAAGGATTACGTTCTCGTTGTCGTCGAAGAACAGAATTGTGGTGCCGAGAAGTTTCGTGGGCACGCAGCAAGGTCTCTCGACGTCCTTGACCAGGCCCATTTTGTGAACGATCCCCTGTATGGTCGCGTGATTCGTCGGCTGTTGGTCCTGGCTCAACGGGGACTCGCAGATACCTTTGCAGTGATACGCGGAGTAACCGAGCGGCGCTATGATCGAGGACGAGAGACCGATCTCGTCGAAATCGACGTAAAGCTCGTGCCTCGAGCACTCCGTGATATTTTGTTGAACCGACGCGTGACTTTTCGTGGATCGTTTCTGGCGACGGTTCTTTATGCGCAATCGGGAGGACGATTTTTGGCGTGCCCTCTCGCCCCATCTACCGCGACGCATCGCTCGTCTGTATATGTCCATCGTTGTGAACTCGGCGTTGTTCGAGAAGAGATTGCTCTCGTGATTCATCATCAGAGCGGAAGCTTCTCGACGACGACGACCGGAAGTTCCGTCAGCTAGACGCTGGTCCCCCGAGGGTGGAACCGAATCTCCCTTCTGTGTTCTCTTCTGTCTTTGAAAGAAATCCGATTTTTCCCCGTCTTGCCATTGCACTTCCTCCGGTTGACCTTTTCCACCGTCCTGCTGTTGCTGTCCCTCTTCCAGGGTCTTGTCGTTGTATTGGTTCTTCAAGTCGATCTTCTCGTCCTCCTCGGCGTAGGACACATCACCCTCGACCTCGTTGTTGTTGCCATAAGCGTAATAACGGGGTACCAGATTTTTATTGCTCTGATGACCCTTCCCATCGTCGTCGAACAACACCAGGATCGGTTGTTTGCTGTGGTGATACTCGTTTCGTCGCGAGAACTCCACGTTCACCTGGTCCTCGAACAGAGTCGAGGCGGTCACCAGAAGTCCGAGGTTCGGCTCGCCGGTCAACCAGCCGAGCACGGCTTGCTTCACGTTGAATATCTGTGATAATAAACGTTCGAATGCTCGATATATAAAGTTATCACTAGAATGCGGACTTTTATGAAAAATAAAAGTTTCTAAAGTAATTTAGAAAAACAAAAGCAATTATAGAAATTTAGTACCCCATTTAAGCACCTTATTGGGTTCAGAATAAAATCGGAAACTCGTTGGATCCGATGAATGTTTTGCTTTTTTATTGTATTTCACAGAATCTTATAGGCTTTAAATTCATAAAATTCCCAGTTATCACTCTGTTTTGTGTTCGATAGCATGAACTAACTTACCTGCCAACCGGACGCGTGCGCCCCGACGTATCTGATGTTCAGGAGTCGATGAAGATCCGGGACGTCCAGGCTTCTCTCGTCCAGAACTTGGTACACTCTTATCTGACGGAGAGAAACGCGTGTTAATCGGGGAACTCGCGAAAAATTCCGAACAGGCTTTAAATTCAATGGTGATGGTCGAACATTTACCAAGTAATAGGGAGAGGCGAGG